ATGAAAGGTCATTGGAAGGAATATTGTGTGGCTTACGTTTACTTCACGAGTTTCTTAGGTATTTGATACCAAATGTAGATCTCATATTTATACAAATATAGAGAAACTAAATAGAAGTAGACCACTGCGAAAGGGAGAAGTTGACCCACACGTTGGAGATGAGCAAAAGTTGCTGCATTGCCTTTAGGAATATACTTCTTGCCATTGCCTTTTGGTTTAGTATTGGAATTAGAGAAATGTCGCTTTATACCTATCATAGCTTAAACATCAAAATGAATTTCATGTTCGGACATGTACTATTTTAATGTTAATGGCAATTTTTGTTCTTGTTTATCTTGTTAAAGATCCTAATGGCTATAGTAAATTAGAAAACGACATTTATATTCTTTAATACAAAGGATTCTATAATGAGTGTAGAAATTATAAGGTATAAATGCGATAATCTGATTATTACCGAAATATGGCATGACAGACTTTGTCATATAGATGAAATGTAATTCCAAAGTTACATAAAAATATATACTAGGGATTAATTGATTTTGACAAGTATAAATTATGCATGTCTGGCACAATGACCAAATCTTCTTTTACTTGAAAAGAAAAAAGGTCAGCATAATTACTGATTTAATGCATAGTGATGCATATGGATTCATGTCAATTGATGTCAGGTAATGTTTCTCTTATTTCATCAATGATCATGTATACTTGATGAAACTCAAACATGAAACTCTTGAAAAGTTCAAGAAATTCAAACTAGAAGTAAAGAAACAAATAGATAAAGATACCCTCACACTAAGATTCGATCAAGTGAGAGTATCTTAAAGATAAAATCTAGATTATCTAAGAGAGAATGAGATTCTCTTATAGTGGACTCTCCACATACATTGCAGCATAGTAGTGTATCTAAAAGGAGGAATCATTGACTATTAAATATAGTGCGATTAATAACAAGCCATGTAAATCTCCAAAAATCGTTTTGGGGTCATGTACTGATTGCAGTGTGCAACACACAAAAACATGTCACATCTAAGTTGGTTAACAGAACTCCATACGAGTTATGGAAATGCAATAGTCTCAATTTATCTCATATGAAAATTTTGGGTCATAACGCTTATTTGAAGCCCCTTAAATCGGATAAGTTTGAGACTAAATCCAATAAATACATATTTGTGGGATATTCAAAGCAGATATTTGAATATAAATTCTATTATTGTGAAAAAAGTCTTCATCTTAAGAGATATCGTCTTCTTAGAGAAAATATTTACTTTAGGGGAAGACAGTGGGAGCAAAATAGAACATGAAAAAGTTCAAGAGTCCACAAATATAGTTAGTCAAGTAAATGAATCTGACTTTGATCCCATATCTGATATGGGACATACTTTTAATCAGAAGTATGACGACATGATAGCTCTATTTAAATCTAGTAGGATCATTCGATCTTGAAGAAGGTGCGAATCCACGATTACTAATCAGGTATTACTGATCCAGGATGATGAACCTACTAATTGCACAAAAATAAAGTCAAGTGTTGACTTAAAAGAGAGAGCAAGAGGCCATGAAACTCGAGATGAACTTGACGTATGTGAACAAGGTTTGGACCTTGATCAAGTCTTCTGATGGAATAAAACCCATACGTTTTTGTAAATAGTTTACAAGGAAAATGTTGATATGGATGGGAATATCCATTTATGCAAAGCAAGGCTAGAAGCAAATGTTAAGTGTTAACCTTGGTGAAACCTTTCTCTTGTAGTCTTGTTAAAGTCCATTCGGGTTTTTGCTTGCAACAGTTGCATACCGTGACTATTGGTTAAGAGAAGTCTCTTGGAGCTGAAATCTTTAAATTGATGAAAAGTCAAAATGTTTGATTTTATCAAATTTGAAGACGAATTGTGTGTTTACAAGAAGATAGTGGGAGTATTATCGTATTTCTAATATTATAGGAAACAACATCCATATATTTCAATCGTTGAAATGAAGGTTGTTAAAGGATTTATTCATGAACGATATGGAAGAAGCAACTTGATCTATAGAGACAGATCTAGAAAATTGCCTAACTCATCCCAATTTACACAGATAAAATCTTGAGAAAATTTCATATGGAGAAACTAGTTTACTCTTAAGCGGAATGTTGGAAATGTTCCAAATGTGAAGCAACCGTTGATTCAATAGTAGAAACTTAATACATGAATATTTCAGAAGTAGCAAAGAGTTGCAATATGGATCATGATGTTCATAAATAAACTTGGAGTAGTTCCTGATATTGTTGATCACATGTCATTGTAGTGTGATAACAATAAAGCTATTGCGAAAGCGAAGGAACTAAGGTCTCATCAATGATCCAAACATATATTGAGATGGTATAATCTCATCAGAGAGATAATACATAGAAATGACGTAAAGAGAAGAACAAATTTCCATATTCAATAATATTGCAGATCCACTGACAAAGAGTTGTCTATCATAAACATGATCGTTATGTAGACTCTTATGATATTTGTTACATAAGTGATTGGATCTAGTGCAAGTGGGAGTTTGTAAGTGTTATGCCTTAAGTCCAATCAATTTTGGACATAAATACTTTTGATATATAATTAATGCAATTTAATGACAGATCTATTATTTAATTAATAGACAATTAAATAAATAATAGAGTCCGTAAATTCAAATTTTCGTAATTTGTTAATCACAAGAAGTTTTGATTGTGAGATACAAATTATATATGATTAAATCTTAAATCGTCCGTGGTCGTAAGTAATAACGAGATAGGGATATCGTTATTACGGATAGACCATCACGTGTGACATTTCTTACTTGTGAAGTAAGTAGCTGATCTCACAAGCTAAAGTGTGGTGACACTTAAATGAACACGTGGATGTTTTGTTATAGAACAAAATATTGGAGACCCACCGAGAGATTTCACATGAATAACTATTTGAGTGTCAGTGATTAATCTCTAATGTTCGGTAGTGGGTTTGGTCCTTTAACTTGAGGTCGTCATAGTATCTTATATGAGGACAGTCATGTTTTGACGGTGTTGGATGTTGCTTTGCCAAGGGCCGCTAATACCGCATCGTTTGGGTATGTCAAAAATCGTATGAAGGTTGTGAATGACCAATAGAGGATTCGTCACTCTTAGATAGTAGGAGATTATGATCTGTGTTTCATTCAATTAAGTCGATAACGGAATCTTTGGCCAATGTGTATTCATAAGTCGAAAAGGAGTTTTCAACTTATATTGATTTAATAGTGGAGTGAAAGATATGATCGATAATCGAGATTGACACACTTCCATATCTCATAATTGATCGGATCATATTGACGAAGGGATTATAGTTTCACGGTAAACGAACGAGTTTGATTTTGTCATACCACATAACATTTCCCGTCACATGTATTGCCCTGACACATTGCTAGATGTCAATTTTGGACGGTGAGTGTGAATTGACGATAAATTAAAAGGGTGTTTTAATTTATCAATTTTGATTAGATCAAAATAATATTTCACGTCGTTAGGCATCGTGATCCGGAACCGGATGAGTTGCACACAAAAGAGAATTGGAATATTGCAATTTGTCAATTAATTAATTTAATAATCGTTGGACAAATTAATTAATTGGTTTGATTATTTATAGGCCTGAATTAATTAATTGGAATAATTAATTTACTGGATTTAATTAAATTGATTAATTAAATATTGGAACGGACCAGGCCAGACCCGTTTGGGCTTATATAAATACATGACTAGGGTTTTCAATCCACATGTTTTTCTCATATTTATTCTTGCTAGCACAAGAGGAGAAAACCCTGGTAGCTGTAATCTTGTTCTCTGTGTGGATCACCGTTGGAGGCTCGACAATTGGACAGCTGTGGGTGGCGAATCAAGATTGCTGGAGCGAAAAGAATAACAAAGAAGTTTGCAGATCTGGAAAAGATACAATCTTATCACAATTTCTATCTAAACACAAAAGCGATTATTGGTGGGAATCAAAATCTATTTTAATTTTCCACTGTGCATGTTAAGTAGATTCCCAACATTATTATCCGAGGAGACTTCAAACATTGACTATGTGACGCCATCTAACAAACCAACTCAGGCTTACACTCCCGTTACTATCCTATCTGTCCAAGGCGAGGTCTTCAAACATGGTAGTTGAGGTGATGCAGCACCTTGTCGAAATGCTATGTAAGGGCTGAACCTTCCATGTCTGAGGTAAGATGCACACGACCTTCGATAGTGCTAATTTGAAGCGAGCTCCCTTAAAATACACAAAGGTAGCTTCTTCCTTTACCTTTATGAAGAGATCCTCCATTATTGATTGATGTAATTTCTCTACTGTAGGCGACCCTCAATCAACTTGTCAATCCACTCTTCAGATGTCAGGGTTGGCTAAAAGCTCACACTTTATGCCATTTGAAAAATAACGCAATTTTACATTATCGACATTATTATTGCCCACTCTTATTTTTTCTCTACAACTTAGATGCCCACAGTTGAAGTGCTTTGATCGCTTCCCCATAATCCTTCTAACGGTTTGTCTAAATATGCATGAAGTTTAAATAATTAACCACGTCACCGGCTAGGAACCGAGGTCAGTACAAATCTGTCTAAATAATCAAATATGCATTAATATTAATAGAAAGCTGTTCTTTTATGGTTAGAGGCTCTCTAATTTATAGTCAAATAATTTCTGCGAGGTGGAAAAAATTGACAGTAAATTAAAATTAACGGTGGAATTGTTATGTTTGCTCTCTATTCTTGACTCAAATTGTAATGTAATTTTTAGGTTAAGAGCCCGCTACCAGATACATGCTGTAAAGTTGCCCAATTATTTCGAAATTGGATCACAAGACGGTGCAGGTGGAGGTACGTTATTTTTGGTGCTATTTCTGTCTTTTTTTTTAATCAATCTGGGCTTTCCAAAAAGGCCCATGACAAGGTTGTTAAGGCCCAAGCCTGCTTCATGATTTTGATAATATTTATAGCGTTATCTCCTTCCCTCAACAATCTCTGGTGTCAAAAATGGCTTCTTCATCACTATCTTCATATGCCAATTCAATTTCTTCTCATTATCATAACAAGTCAAAGATGAAGAATGAGAGATTACTTCCATACTCATTGTTGATCAGTTCATCACCCAATTTGTCATCAAACCCTAAAATTTCAGCCCAATTCGTCAGCCATCACTTTACACAGCGGCTATCTTCATTTTCAAGGCCTCTTACTATCATTTCCATGGCTCCTCCTAAACCTGGTGGCAAAGCCAAAAAAGGTATCCATTTAATTTTAAATATAATCCAAGATTTTGTATTTTTATTTTATGTGTGTGTGATTGGAATTTGGCAGTGGTTGGGCTGGTGAAGTTAGCTCTGGAGGCAGGAAAGGCCACCCCGGCGCCTCCTGTGGGGCCTGCATTGGGAGCCAAGGGTGTGAATATTATGGCTTTCTGTAAAGATTACAATGCCCGTACTGCCGATAAGGCTGGTTACATTATTCCTGTCGAAATTACAATCTATGATGTGAGTTCTTTCGTTTTTGGATGTATTAGTTTGATTTTGAAGTGAAGGGAATCTAATTGATTGGGTAGTTAGTCCTCAACTCAGTGTTTGTTTCTAAATCTTTTTAGGATAGGAGTTTCACTTTTATCTTGAAGACTCCACCTGCTTCAGTCTTGCTGCTGAAAGCTGCAGGTACCAGTTTTATTTATTTATATATTTTTAAAAATCTCCAAGTATATAATGAAGTTATTGGTATTTTTGTTCAATTTTATTGCAATAAGAGAAATGCTGCTGGGCTTTCTGTTGTAGTTGATTCAGTGAACCAGGCATTCAATTTTCCTACATTAAGAGTTTGACTGGCATAGCATAGTTCTAAGAACTTTGAACATTGAAGGATTAGTTAGTCTGATTAGAATTGCTTATGCTCCATGTTTATTAGCTTGATTATGGTGCGAAAGTTTATTTTAGTCAACCTAAACTCTGTTAAGAACACAAATCAAGGTTTCCTTTTTTCATGAAAAGAAATCAAGAGATTAAAATATATTCTACTTGTTACTTTGAATTGGGTTTTCTTCCAAACAAGGCACATTTGTGAGCAATTGGTGCAAACTATTTCTTGGGGGTATTCAGATTAGTTTTCTGTCTTATGACATGTAGAAACTTTTCCACTTCCAATTACAGGGCAAATAATAAGTAACATTTCACGCTAAAATTTAGTTTACTTGAAGTAGTTACTTCGGTAGGATGATCTCAAAGATAAGAATATAAAAAAAAAAATTATTTCCCAACAGTTTTTTTTTAAGCATGAATATATCATGTTTGATAATGCAATAGATACAAATAGGTTTAGATTGAAGATATGTTCAAGTTAAATAGGCAGAAAATGGACGGAAGTGGGGATGATATGGCATCTTTTTTTACTATTTGTATGTGTAAGCATCACAGTATTAAGGAAATTTTGGTTTTTTACTTCAAATAAATTGCACATGTACTGTGGTTTTGTGTCTATGACTATAATGATTGTTTTATATTACATCCAAATACAGAATATCATGTAGTTAATTTTATATCTTGTGCACGTGTATCTGGATATTCGTGAGTTCTCTTTCCCCTTGGTTCTCAAAATAGAATAATTCTGATTGGAAATGATAAAACTAAAACGCAGTCTGCATTTCTAGTTGTTTGAGAGGATCACTGACATTGGACTTCAAATGATGTATCATGGATACTTGGAGAAGGCGAAGAACTGAGCATGGTTATTTATTAGTAATTCACTTCAACTCCACCATGAAATATGAGATGATCATTGAGGTTGAGATTGGGTTTTCTCTCAAATGCTTTATCCTTATTATATATTATAACTTTTTTTAAAAAATAATTTAGTATGTAGAGTTGTTCAAAGTAAAGGCTCATTTCAAAGGGCGATCTCCAAAAATAGATTCTGCAGTTGGATCATGTTCATATTTCGGGCCAAAACGTCTTGATTGTTTGCATTTTATTGATCAAATCACACTTTATACCTCAAAGGGGGCATTCCCTCAGATACAAAAATTAAAAAAACTTACAGATTCAGCAAGCAATTACAAAGAACAATCAACCCATATCCTAATTCAACTCAAAGAAGCACAGTACCTTA